GGCTTTTTGAGGAGGGGCCTCACCACTGCCTCTTTCAAGGTGGGAGGGAAGAAATCCTCACTCAAAGAAGCATTAGTAATCACCTGGAGCCAGCCATGTGTGACCTCCCGAGAGGCCAGCACCAACCAGGAGGGACATGGGTCCAATAAACATGTGGCAGCGCTAAGCCTACCCAGTATCCTGTTCATGTCCTCAGGAGTCACAAGGTCAAACTCCTCCCAGGTAACACATACAAGACCCACCTCCATCATCCCATCTGAACCTACCCAGTCGGAGTCCAGGCCTTTCCAAATCTGAGCGATTTTGTCATGCAGGTATTACACAAAATCCTCAGCCCTACCCTTCCCTCGCTCCCAAATGAAGAAGGGAGCGGGTCCCTCTAAACAGGGCAGCTGGGCGGTTCTCTGCAGAAGCCATAAGGGCAGAAAAATAATTAAATTTCTCCACTCTTATCGCCACTAGGTAGATCTTAATATGATACCTCACCAGTGTTCGGTCAGATTTGGAGTGGCTGGCCCTCCAATCGCTCTCCAGGCATCTTTTCCAGCGCTTCATCTCCCTCAGCTCCTCAGAGAACCAGGGAGCCAATTGAGATCGGCACCGGATCAGAGCTGCAAAGGCACGACATGGTCAAAAGCTCCACTGGCCGCCCTATCCCAGGCGGCCACCAGTTCTTCTGTTGAGTCGTGAGCCAAAGCCTCAGGGAATGGCCCAAGCTCCGTCTGGAACCTATCCGGATCCATCAGGTACCTGGGATGGAACCACCTATTCAGTTCCGTCTCCCTGCGGCGGAGAGTAGCAGCTTAAAAATCTAGTCAAAGGAGTGAATGATCTGACCATGACAAGGGCTTGATGATTATATCCCCTATTTCTAGATCATTCGACCACTGACCAGAGACAAAAATTAGATCCAGAGTGTGCCCCCCGTGTGAGTAGGGCCTTGAACTAACTGGGTCAGGTCCATGGCTGCCATGGAAGCCATGAATTCCTGGGCTGCCTCTGACATTTCACTGACAGATGGCAGGTTGAAATCCCCCATGACCATAAGTCTAGGGGTATCCACCACCACCCCGGCTATTACGTTGAGCAGCTCGGGCAGGGCTGCTGCTACGTGGCAGGGAGCCAAGTACACAATCAGCAAGCCCATCTACACCCCATGACCCCACTTCACAAGGAGGGACTCACATCCGGCTATCTGAGGTACAGTGGCCTCCCTCGGACAAAGACTTTCCTTTATAATAGCCACAATCCCCTGCCCCTACCCTGAGCCCTCGGATGATGGAATGTGCAGAAGCCTAGTGGGCACATTTCAACAATGGGAACCCCCCCTCCAAGCCCAGCCAGGTCTCCGTAATACCTGCCAGGTCAGCATCCCCCTCCTGAACAAGATTGTAAATGAGGGGGGCTTTATTTATCATGGCACAACATCAGTCGACGCCCAGGCCCTGAGGATCTATGCAACCCGGGGAATGAGAAATGCATTGGGGACCAGAGTACGCAATCGCTTGCAAACAGCGAGTGTGCACTCCCAAAACATAATATTGCCCCCTGCTACCGCCATATCTGCCCCTTCCACCCACAGTACTAATTAAACAGCCCTCACCCTCATCCTCCTGCATCCTATCCAGGCTCCCATCCCCGTCCATCCCGCCATGGCCCTCAGACAGGCTATGCTGCTCTGTAGCTTTATGGAGCCCCCCCAGATCCATCCATATAACCAACCACCCCCTCCCAGGACCCCTTAAAATATTCACTAATGATTTAGCCAAAAAACCCCGCAGCCTCCTCTTTGCCACATGCCACCTCTCAGGGTTCCAAAATCTGTCATCAAGGTAGGCCCTTGATAGAGTAAAGGGCCAGACCTGTGAGAGGGGGGAGTCTCACAGTACCAGGAGCTCAGTCGCCGAATACATCCGGTCGCTGGGGGGGGGGGTGAAAAATAGTCTATGGTCAGGGGGACCACTTCGGTGATTTAAAGTCCAAAGGAGAGACAATGCTAGTTTTAGGTACAAGTAAACCAGACTCCACTGCCCTCTTACAGCAGTGGGAGGAGATATGCGCCTTTCAACACCCAGGAATGGTTGACCAAATCACCCTCTCACGATGGCTGGCCAACAGGAATAGTCCAAAATGTTGGTGAATCCGGTAGTGAAAAGACAGCCATACACCGACTCCCTCAGAGCTTGTATCCCAGGTCACAACTCTCCATGCAGATTAAGGAGAAAGATAGAATTAACCAGACCTCATGCTCGGAAAACAAGGGGTCAGTCTATGAGAACTGTGTAGCGGCATTGTCCAGAGAGGCCACGATGACACCAAACAAAGGGAGGTACCGTTCAGCAGGCCGGGAATAGGCAGGGGTGACAATGAGCATAATAAGGCCTGAACCAGGCCAAAAAAGGGAATGGGGGGATGGGGGGGGGCTAGCAACAAAGTGTTAGGGGCAAAAGAACCTCATAGTCATTTTCCGCCCCCCCGACCCCCAGCCTACCCTCAGATCTTCTAAGAGTCCATAATGTCACCAATTCTGCCTCTTCTAGTTTGTTACGGAGGACTCTGGGTCCATCTGGGGGCCAGCCCTCCAAGGTGGGCCAGACACCCTTTGATCATCCAGACCATTCCAGATGGCAAACACACTGCCGAGCGTATCCCCCGCCATCTCGCTCTGGGCCTTCAGGCTGCTGCCCCAGCCTCCAGCCTCCGTCCCAGTGGCCGCCATTGCAACCACTGCTGCTGCCACCGCTGTTGCCACCAGCCTCGTCATCGTCCTCAACCTCATCCTCCCCTAGCCCCTACCAACAGTTCCTGAGGCCTCCAGGATCACAACGAGAGTCCAGATGAGGGTGCTGCAGCACCGCCGCCACCGCACACCGCCGCCGCCGTTCCAGCAGCCGCTGGCAGATGCAGGGTCCATCACAGCCGGCTTTCAGGCCAATCCTGCCATCTGCATCGTCCCCAACAAGCACCGACCTCTTCCCAGCCAAGATGTCCCAGAGAGCGAAAAACTCTCCAAATGGCTGGCAGGAACTCCTTTTATCCGGGCAGGGGCCATAGGTATTCAGTCCGCCCCCCCCCCCCGCCCCCCCCCGGCCCCAAAACCCCCCCCCCCAAGATCGCAAACTCAGAGAGGAGCCGCCATCTTGGGCATGCGCAGTTGCAGGCTTCTCTTCAATTAGCTGCAGGAGGGACCAAAAGACTAACATTTTTGGTATAGATTTTTAAAATTTCTTCTAAATTTTTGGAGAATTTGAAAATGTTTAGAAATTTTAATTTTTATATGAACTTCTTAAATTTTTAATTTTTTTGAAACAATCCCTTTAAATTAATAAATATTTTTTTTTATAAAATTGAAAATTTTTAAATGTTTAAATGATCTTTTAGAATTTAAAATTTTTTTATTTAGAATTTATTCATTTTTGGAAAAATCTTTTATATTTTTTAGCATTTTGAAAACTTTTGACATTTTTAATTTTTAAATGAAGTAGTTGTGAAAAGAAACAGTCATGGAAAAAGAGTCTGACACAGTAGTCATTTACCAAATATAGTCCCTCTATGTATTCAAGCCCCTAGAGGACCCAAATTACACATGTACCAAATGTAAGCTAAATAAAAAATAAATCAGAAATGCCAACCAAAGGAAGAAGACTGTATCCAAACTGAACATAAGTGAACAAACAACTACCAGAAACTTTCATATATGTGAACCTTTAGGCATAGACCTATGTCACTCATAGAAGAAAACAACAACTAAGAGTATTGTCCCTGGTGTCTAGTGTGGCTCAGTCCAGGGCAGCCTCACTAGAGCTGAACAATTGATTTCATATCCTGCTCCTGGAAGAAGGCATGCAGATACCTGGAGAAGGGACATCATCAAGTGTTTCTATGACAGGAAGAAAAGTAATCCAGACTTTCTCAAGAAAAAAAAGGGAGTGTTGGTAATAGGACATTTATTTTTAAGAAGAGATTGGACAGCCATTTGTCTGAAATGGTATAGAGTCTCCTGCTTGACCAGAGGGTTAGATTAGAAGACATCCAAGGTCCCTTCCAGCTCTATTCTGATTGATTGATTATAGGGGATTTAATAATTTCTGAATTATACTGCAACTTTCTGGATTACACTTAATTTACAGATTTTAGGCTAAACTGTAGAAATATACTCTAACATACCTGGAGAGGTACCAGTTTAGTGGTTTCTGCACAGCATACCACTATGATACCAATAGAGGAGAATATTTGCAGCTCAGGGTTCAAATGAGGAGTCCTTTGTGCTCTCTGAGTTTGGTTGGTTTTTTTGCAGATATTTATTTCAAACTAGGTAACAGCATCAATCCTAGACATCATCAGGATTAGCACTGATAATGTTACCTAGTTTGGGTAATGAAATGTCTGCAAGAAAATAACCAAGCTTAGAGAGCACCAAGGGCGCCTCATACCACCTTGAATACATTTGGGAGGAACTGATGTTGTTGGAAGAAATGAATAGTTGCTAAAGCATTTATTCTGTTCTTGATGATCATGCAAGTATCAGAAATTGATGACCACTGAGATGCCTTATGGAATACATAAAACCAGGTACTCATGATAGGATAAATTAGAAAAAAAAAATCAACATCTAGATAAAAACATATTATTGACCAACTTTGCTGAAATAACGGTTTTACAGAGGCTTGAAGTTTTTTTTTTGTAACTCCCAAATATACTTTAAGACAAGGTGTGCAGGAGGAAGTGAAAACCACTTCGTTTTCAAGTATTGCAAATATTACTGAATTATTTCTAAACTAAACATATAGACTATAGGGCTTGTGAAAGGACAATTTCATTGTGAAAGCTGTTGGTCAACCTATGTACATATGTACCAATATTTGTAATTGCTGCAGGAGTTTTTAGCCATATAAGGCAAAGGGAATGACACATGACAGATTCAGGATTGTGAGTTTTGTGGTTTGGGAGTATAAAAGAGTTGGCTGTATTCAACAATATTACACAGGCTTTGAGGGCAATCTCCCTGTGTCTTTCTATGCAGAATAAAGAAATATTGCTTCAATCTTTAGTGTGTTCAGTTTAGTTTCAGCACACAGTCTTGAAGGAACCAGTGAGGGCTGGGACATCCCTCTCCAGGGGTGCCAGGTGCATTTAGAAAGAAAATGGCCACAATCATAGCATTTTTTTTATTCAGTACTCTTCTTCAATCACTTATTGCATCAGGTAAGGAAAATACACCAATGTGTTGATTCATGTTCCTTGGATAGTTTATCACAGATCTTTGCTTTAGGATACTGATTTTAAGAGAGTATTTATTTAGATAATTTATATAATGTTTGGATTTGTTGCATGACTTGTTTCCTACGTCTAAATCAAGGGAATGAATGAATACTTACCAGGGAGTTTCTTGAATTCTGGTATTGTCTTTTTTCCATATTAGTGCCTCCTCCTTGTGTCTTCCCATTTATTTACAATGGAAAATCCTACAATTCTTGCACTGAAGATGCAAGCCAGAACCGCCCATGGTGTGCCACAACCCCAAACTATGATCAATCTAAAAAATGGAAGTATTGTGCAACTAAAGGTTTGACATATTTACATTTCTGGGCTATATTACTCAGTAGGATTAGAAAATATAACAATTATCCTGAAACAGTCAACTGATTCCTTTTAAAATATTTCTAGACCTAATCTGGTGTAGAATTAAAACAGGCATTGTAGGGTGTTTGTCTGCACTTTAGTAAGATTAACCTAGCTCCATTACAACAATGTAACTGCCCATAAATGTGCAGTTTAATTATACAAAACTAAAAAGATGTAATTTAGATGACAAGCCACTTACATGATATGTGAACCCACTCCTTGGGAATCTCTTATTTAAACAATGCCATTCTTTTATAAATCCTGTTTTATGATGGTCTCTTTTATCCTTTGTAGAAACCAAGGAAATTGGTTTGTTGGGTGGGCAGAGAAATTTCTCCTTGAACTGGTGAGAATGGACTGCAGAACTACTGGTAGTTAGTAGTCAGCAGAAGTAGCCTGCAATACTGCATTGTAACCACTGTGCCACTAAGGCTCATTAGATAACAATAACAGTAACAGAATTGGAAGGGACTTTGGAGGTCATCTAGTCCAACCCCCTGCTCATGCAGGAGATCTGTACTAGGGACTGCTGATTTTTCTGATCAACAAGCTCAGTGTCTTAGCCACTGAGCCACCTAGTCAGATGATGTATGACTCAGTGGTGGATTTCAAATATTTTTACTACCGGTCCGGGGGCATGGCTTGGTTGGCATGGCTTGGTGAGGGTGGCTTGGTGGGTGTGGCAGGGGAAGGATACTGTAAAATCTCCATTCCCTCCCTAATCCAGGGGAAGGTTATTGCAAAATCCCCATTTCCTCCTGATCAGCTGGGTCTTGGCAGACAGAGAATAGATGGGGACAGGGCCAGTCAGAATTTTTACTACCTATTCTCTGAATTTTTACTACCTGTTCTCTCAAAATTTCTGCTACTGGTTCTCCAGAACTGGTCAGAACCTGCTGAAACCCACCTCTGGTGTGACTCTTCAAAAACAGATAATAAAGGGGCTCAATACCACTGCTTTGAAAGAAGCAGTGGTGAGGCCCCTCCTCAAGAAGTCCTCCCTGGACCCGGCTATATTAGCTAACTACAGTCCGGTCTCCAACCTCCGCTTTGCGGTGAAGGTTGTTAAGAGTATGGTGGTGCGACAGCTTCTTTAATACCTGGATGAAGCTGTCTATCTAGATCCAGTCGGGCTTCAGTACAGGTTACAGCACAGAAACGGCATTGATCGCATTGGTTGATGATCTCTGGAGGGCTTGGGACAGGGGATGCTCCTCAGTCCTGGTTCTCCTAGATCTCTCAGTGGCCTTTGATACCATCAATCATAGTATCATGCTGCGTTGATTGGGGGGACTGGAAGTGGGAGGCACCGTATTGCGGTGGTTCTCCTCCTTTCTCTCCGAATGTACACAGTCTGTGTTGACGGGGGGGCAGAGGTCGACCTCGAGGCACCTTACTTGTGGGGTGCCACAAGGGTTGGTCCTCTCGCCCCTCCTGTTCAACATTTATGTGAAGCCGCTGGGTGAGATCATCTGTGGTTTTGGGGTGAAATGTCAACTGTATGCTGGTGACACACAGTTGTACATTTCTATCCTGGATCACCCCAATGATGCCCTTGACGTGATGTCCCGATGCCTGGAGGCCGTGCGGATCTGGATGGGGAGGAACAGGCTCAGGCTCAACCCCTCCAAGACTGAGTGGCTGTGGTTTCCAGTGCCCCGATATAGCCAGCTGATACCATCGCTGGCTATTGGGGATGAGATCTTATCCCCCTCAGAGAGGGCTTACAACTTGGGCGTCCTCCTGGATACAAGGCTGTCTTTAGATGATCATATGACGGCCTTGGCCAGGGGGGATTTTTATCAGGTTCGCCTGATTTCCCAGTTGCGTCCCTTTCTGGATTGGGAGGCCTTACGCACGGTCACTCACGCCCTTGTCACTTCCCGTCTGGACTACTGTAACAGTCTCTACATGGGGCTCCCCTTGAGGAGTACCCGGAAGCTCCAACTGGTCCGGAACGCGACCATGTGAGTGGTTATGGGGGCGACCTGTCGCTCCCATGTAACACCTCTCTTGCGCAAGCTGCACTGGCTCCCAGTGGTCTTCCAGGTGTATTTCAAGGTGCTAGTCACCATCTTCAAAGCACTCCATGGCTTAGGGATACTTACAGGACTGCCTTCTGACACTGCATGCCTCCCACTGCCCGATTCGCTCCCACAGAGAGGGCCTCCTCAGGGTGCCGTCGGCCAAACAATGTCGGGTAGCAACCTCCAGGGGGAGAGCCTCTGTGGGGGCTCCTGCCCTATGGAATGAGCTGCCCCTGGACATAAGGAGGATTCCTGACCTCCGCATCTTCCATCGTGCGCTGAAGACTTTATTGTTTCAGCAAGCCGGCCTGACCAAATATATTAATTTAAGTGGGTTTTAATGGTTTTAAAGGGGTTTTAGTTAGGGGTTTTAAATATGGCCAATGCTTTAAATTATTTTAAATTGTTTTTAATTTTTGTGTTGGTATTATTTTTATCATGGCTGTATACCACCCTGAGTCCTTCGGGAGAAGGGCGGTATAGAAATGTAATAATAAATAAATAAATAAATAAATAAATAAATAAATAAATAAATAAATAAAAATAATAATATGAACGTAAAATCTGAAATAATATAGTATGGAACATTGCTAAAATAATATTTATCTATCTTTTATTGCTTTGCTTTTCCTTAGAATATGGTGGTAATTCTGGTGGAAAACCATGTGCATTCCCTTTTACATACAAGAAACGAACATATTATAGTTGCACGAATGAAGATGCAGAAATAGGAAGATTCTGGTGTGCAACAACTGGGAGTTATGATAAAGAGGAACAATGGAGCTACTGTGCTGATACCAGTAAGATAACTGTGTGATGTTAGCTTATTTGGTGTAATAAGCATAGCTAAATTACATGTACACAAAGGAAAGTAAAGAGACTTTTTAATTGATAAAAAATGGATAAATAAAGTTGAGAGTGATGCAGAAATGAATACATTTTGGAAGAAGGGAGGAATGATACTGTGTAGTTTAGAGGCAGGGCATTTAACCAAGGTCTCTAAAGCCAGTTCCTTACATCTTGAGAAATAGATTAAAAAGTCATGAGAACTGATAATGTTCAATATAAAACACAAATAATTGTTTAATTAGGGGTGGGCAATTAATTTTCCCAAAAGGCCACATGAGGAACTGGGGCTGTTGTAGAAGGCCAAACCAATAACTTCTGACTGTACACCACCCATTTGCCTGTAAGGCAGTGCTTTGAGGATATGGCAGTGGGTGGCTGAGTTCAGGCTGGCTCATATGATGACCATGGCTCCTCTTCAGGCTGCTCCAGGCGAGGAGTGACCACTATGCAGAAAAATGCTTTCTCTCCTTGCATTCCTATGGCCGTAAATGGTGATTGCGCAGAGCCTAACCTGGGCTTCTTTCCCCATCCCCTGGAGAACACTTACAGGTATCCTCAATTTACAACAGTTCATTTAGTGACTGTTCAAAGTTACAATGGCACTGAAAAAAGTGACTTATGACCATTTTTCATAGTAACAAGCTGTGTAGCATCCCTATGATGTGATCAAAATTCAGATGCTTGGCAATTGGTTCGTACTGTACTTATGACCACTGCTGTGGCTCAAGTTCACGTGATCATCTTTTGCAACCTTCTGACCAAGTCAATGCTGAAACCAGATTCACTCAACAACCATGTTACTAACTTATTAACTGCAGTGATTCATTTAATAACTGTGGCAAAAAAGGTCGTAAGATGGGGCAAAACTCACTTAACAAATGTTTCACTTAACAAAATTTTGGGCTCAATATTGGTCATAAATCAATTACATTACCTGCATTTAGATTTGATTTCTAATTTTTAATTGACCTCACATATGCCCAAAGGGACAGCCAAAGAGCTGAATATGGTTGGAGGCCATAAAATGCCTAATTCTAGTTTATTATATTAGTATCTCCAACTTGAATAGTCATATGAGATTAAGTACTATGGTTCACCTTTTCAGGAATAAAGATGTGTTTTTAGTATAATTTCTGATATACTGCAATTATGCCAACAATACTTTAACTCAAATGCTGAACCCAATAATCAGTTATTACTAACTTTCTTATTCATTTTTTCATCACTGTTCAGGACTAGCTGCAAATTCACAGGGGCCTTGTGTGTTTCCTTTTATCTACAAGGGACAATCCTACTCAGCTTGCACAAAAGCTGGGTCTTCTGATGGAAAGCTCTGGTGCTCTTTGAGCAGCAACTATGATAGAGAACCAAAATGGACTTACTGTACACCCTCAGGTATGGAATAACTTAGATGATAGAAGGAAACATTTGGACAATCCTGCTAACTAGCTCTGCTAATTATTAAACTGGGACGGGGAGAATCAGACACAAATCCACGCTAAGTTGCAAAAACTCTTTGGATCACTTTCCACCAGTTACTATTTGTCAATCCAATTTACCTCTGAAGAATGTCCTGGGGATAACATTGAAGAACAGAGCATAGAAAGATATCATATATCAGAAGTAAGATAATACAGGAGTAAATAAGTCATTTTTGCCTTAGAAATTGATTCTTGAGGACTATAAGAACATATCCATGTTGTTTTTTGGCAACACACAAGAACTGATTTGCCATTGTTTTCTCTATATGTTTTGTTGTTGATATGTTGATATGTTTTCTCTATAACAATGATATTTCTTAGTATCCTCCATCACTACTGATAGCCAGAAGTGACCTGCTTAGTTTCTCATGGTTGGTCAAGTACTGCTATCTGTTCTGATTAATACTCATCTAATAATAAGTGGTGGTAGAAGTGCATTGAAAAAAGCCACTAAGTAAACAATTTCTTTGGGCTCTTTCAAGCAGAAAGAAGAACCCCAATAGTTGAGAGTTGTAGTTGAGAGTGAAAGCAAAAGGACAACTGAAGGTGGGATAACAGAATGTTGATCCATTAATTCCTATGGAAGGAAAAATTAAAAGAGGTGTTACTGTACAGAAAATATTGTGATTAGATAGTATCTTAGTTTGCATTTTTATTACATGTTTATACATTTCTCAGTTGACCTTTACATAGAGCAGGATCAGTAGGAGTCACTGGGCAAATAACCAACTGAATTGAGGAAAAAAATAGTTTTAAATATTTAAAATTAAAATCAAATTGTGACAATCTGATTGTGTATTTAGTAATGTGAAACTCACAAAGGTATCAGGACATAAGGAAGTGTAGTGCTATGGATCCAGAGTTGATAGTGTACTTTGGAAGTAGTAAGAAGCTGCAGATTTCCCTGGGATTCTAGGAAATGCATGTCTAAGGTTAAAGAGGTACAGCCATATGCAGTTTGCATACCTAGGCCTGCTCTAAAACATCTTTTTGGCTTTTGATCTAAGCCCTATCCATCACTATATGGATAGTGAGTGAGCAGATACTCAGAAACTGTGGAGCCATCTTGGCCACAAGTTCATCAAGGAAAACAAAGTGTTTTCCTCAAAATGCCCTGGTGGCTATCTGGTAACCTTTTAGGGCTGTAGGAATTAATCATCAGGTATCAAGCTATTCCTTTGGTAGAGGAATTAGGAAGAAGTATAAGAACCTTGGAAGATAGGGTGGGGGTGAGGTGTATGGAAACAATTGAATAAAAATCAGCTTGGTCCACAGAACAGGATTGTGGCAAGTCTCAGAAGAGATCCTCCTCAATTTCTTGGAATGTAAAGGTGATAAGAGAAATGAACTTTCAGACTTGCAAAATTCTGCTAATGTAACCTTGCATAAAGTAGAATTAATCCATTTGGTCATGCTTCCTGATTGGAGTACCAGATTACCCTCACAGAAATCAATCAATTTCAGCAGGAAGATACAGTATGTATGTATGTATGTAACCATTTAAGCATGTCTATTTTTTAATTGGATAAATCCATTTTTCAACAGTTATGCATGACGTACACAATATCTTAATAAACTCTATTCCACCTGGAATCTTAATCATCCCATGGTTCATCCAATTCTATCTGTTTTTAAGATTTCTTCTTTTGGTGCTTAATTTCTTCCCCCCATTATTTTTCCTTTCCAGAATTACGTCCTTGCAAGTTTCCCTTCCAATTCAACAACAAATTCTACTTTCGTTGTACAAGAGATGGTGCATATGATAACCAATTGTGGTGTGCCACAACTGCAAACTATGACAAGAACAGTAAATGGAGGGCATGTGCCACTGAAGGTAGGAGAAACTATACTGTGGTATAGACACCTCTTTTTTCTCCCCCCCCTCAAAATTCAGTGACTCTGAATGGCTGCAATGATATTTCAATGGAACAAATGTCCTGTCAGAGGGTAGTTTCCATGCAACATGGGATGTGCATATTAAGATATTCAATTACAGATAAAAATGAAGTCCAGATTAAGAATGGGAAAGCAAGTCAGTGTGAGTCCAATGAAATATTCAAAGTGGATGGATGTGAAAGTAGAAATGAAAAGAAGAATAATAGGAAAAATGAATGAACTGGAGTGGAAGAATGGATTCTAGGTGAGGGACAACAATAAGATTAGCTGAAGTGGAGTAGACAACAAGTATTGTGAATGGTAAAGCAGGATAGAGAGGATGCAGAGAATGGCTTGTGGAATTCTTTCCAATTCTTTTACTGCAGTAGCCACACATTTCTGTGCCTGTATGAATTTAGGAAACAGAAGGTGGCTATGTGTGATCCAAACTGGGTCACATGATGAAGGATAAAGCAGCCAGGCATATTCCCAACTTGCCTTCAACTATTTCTACCACAGGAATTCCTCCAACAATTCTGTTGCTAAATGACATGGTTATTGAAAGATCACATGATCATCCTGGACTTATGTCAGTTTGGTTGTTAAATGAATTACTTGTGATTGTTATACATGACCTCATGAGGCTGTGATTTCCTACTTACTGCCAGTTTCTTTATTGATTCTGCTTGTTGGAAGCCAGCTGGGAACCACAATTGGCAATCATATATCTGTGGGATGCTGTAATAATTATAAATGCATACTGGTTGTGAAGTGCCTGAATCAGGATCAAATGGGTTTGTGGGTTTGTGGGTTTGTGATCTTCCTAGTTGGCTATCAATCACTCATGATTGTTAAGCATGAAATTATGTGATTGTGAGTTTTGATTTACTGATTTTCCTTGTCAGAAATTTGTAAATGCTGATCACACAATCCAGGATGCTGCTATCATAATTATATGCTGGTTGCAAAGTGGCCACATTTTGATCATGTTACCTTAGGGATGATGTGATATTTATAAATACATGGACTGGTTGTAAATCATTATTTTTCAGTGCCATTGTGATTTCAAACAGTTATTACATGAATAGTTGTAAATTGAGGACTATTTGTAGAACCTTCAAGGACTCACCATAGTTAGGTAAGAGTTTAATGGAGAACTGGAATGGGGAGGGGACATATACCATGCTTATCTTATGGTCTACGGCTCTTTACCAGCTTTAGCCTTTACAGTATTCCTCAGTGATTAAAGATAAATGCTGACTCCCCCCATCTCCCCAGAGAATGGGCTGATGCACACAAGTATGTTACGAACACCTTCAATTATCATTTGTTAATTCATAGAGACCTAGTCTTTTCAAACTCTGGTTTAAAAAAAAAACATAGCTTAAGTCTGCAGTGGCTATTGCCACAAAGGAGTTATGTACTCAATTTGGCAGGGATATCAAACTCAAAATTTTAAAGAAACTTTTGAACACTGGGCTCTATAAAGCAAAATACTGTTCACTGGTGAAAAATATAAGGTTCTGCATAATAGGAAAAGACAGGTGATACTGGCTTGATGGTAATACTTCATTCATGGTGATCATTCCACAGTACGGGATGAGGTATCATCAGTACACTGATGATACCCACTTTATACATCCCAAGTGACATAAATATTGCTGACAATGCCCTTTCTCAATGTGAGGGCATATAGGGGTACAACAGGATTCAGCTGAACTCCCACAGCAAGACTGAGTGGCTGTAAGTATGTGGAGCCCCAGTTTAAGATCTTTACTTCTGCATGGGGTTGCACTTCCCTAGACAGATCTGGTATGCAACTAAAGAATTCTTCTAGAATCTTGCTCAAAGATTAGATAACAGAAGGCCCTTTGAAAAATTTTATATTGTATACTAATTATGACCTTTCCTGGATTGTAAGGCCTTGTCTCAGTCACTCATGCCTTGTTCATCTCGTACTTGGACTATTTCACAGTGCTTTACATGAGACTACTTTTGAAAATCATTTGGAAGCTAGAACTGGCAGAAAGTGCGACAGAAATTTAGGAGCCTTTAGGGTAGCCCGTGAAACAAATCTGTTGCAGGAGCTACACTGGTTGTAGTGGAGCTGAGAGGAGCCATTAGTAAAACTAACATTCTATTTTTATACCTCAGGATACAGGAAATTATAAACAACAGTACAATTATTGGTTACAAATTTTTTATCATCCATATGCCACATATATAAGTAATGCTATTCAACTTGGAATAGCATGTGTACAGATAGTGCTGTTCAAGTGTTCTTAGCATGATCTATACCCTTAAAACCCTGTTTGCCCCACAGCGCAAGCTAAATATCATGTTGTCTTACTTTTCCAGTAACAGGTCTTCTTGCAACAAGCTTCTAGGCTCTTCTCTAACTGCATCTTTCACAACTATGTTTTCTTGGTAATGTCTACTTTTAGCCTAATCAAGCATCCAGATCTTGCTTTGTTCTTAGCAAAGCATCTTGGCAATTTCCTTTTCCAATGCTGGTGGGTATGAAATGTATTGAAGGAGAGAGAGAGAGGGAGGGAGGGAGAGAGAGAGAGAGAGAGAGAGAGAGAGAGAGAGCGAGAGAGCAAGAGAGAGAGAGAGAGAGAGGGACGGGGGAGAGAGGGAGAATGAAAAACCCTATTTTGTAAGAAAAGAGGTTAAAGATATAGTTTGGAAAATGGAGTTTAGGGTCCTAGGCCTTCAGTACTTGATAGGACAAAGAGTAGGATTTCCAGGGAATTGAAATGTTTGGAATGTTTACTGGATAAGATTAAAGTTCATTTCAATACAAAGACTTCCCCTTTCTTTATTTTGTGTTTCCAATATCTACAGAATACGAAGGTAATTCTAAAGGCAAGCGCTGTGTTTTTCCATTCATCTACCGTGGGAAAACATTCAATTTTTGCACCAATGAAAATTCAGAGGATGGAAGATTTTGGTGTTCTGTCACAAGGAATTATGACCAAGAACGGCTATGGAGCTACTGTGCTGATACAAGTAAGATAAATCAGAAGTTGCTATATTAAGAATCAGAAATCAGAATGTGGAAGTCCCTTAAAATACCTGGGTACAAATTTTTAATTGACATACCAAAGTTAGGAATAATGTCTATATAACGTAGGAAAATAAAGGTGCCAAAGTGATTATTGCAAACTAAAAGAGAAAAAAAAGGTATCTCTGAATTGGATGGAAGTCAATATTTAATTTATTGATATCATTATCCTATTTGGTTAGAAATCTAGGGTAGCTCTTTATTTGCTTAGTCAACTTGTATGCCACCTCTAGGCAACTTTAGGCATCTTACATATTAGATTTAAAATCAACAATTTAATAATATAAAGAATAATTAATGATACCAATGGCACATCAAAGAAAAACAAAAATGAAGAATCTGGTTACTCATCATGTAATAGAAATCCAATACTACAGAGCAGATTATGAAACACTCTGTTCTAAGTCAGGGGTGATATTCACTTACCTTTGCTACTGGTTTGCAAATGTGCTTGTGCATGCCTCCTCCATGCATGTACAGAGCTTTCTGCACATTCACAGAAGGTCAAAAATGGGACGTGATGATGTCCGGGTGGGTGGGCGGAGCCTCCCTCTGCTGGGCTTACCGGATCGCACAATCCAGATAGAATCAGCTGAATCTCACCTAAGTCCTATTGGAAGAGCCAGGTCCTTAAAGATATATGAACAAGCAGCAGAGTCAATGATGTATAGAATTCAGGAAGAATGGTATTTCGCAGTGTGGGTGCAGCTACAGGAGAGGGCCATCTCCTAGGTCCTGCAAGATGACACTGTTCTACATCTGGGAATTGGAGTTTGCCAACTTTATCAAATTTTAATGGCTGGACAGAAGTTGCAGGAGAAGGATGTGATCCTGTAGGTATTCAGGCTATAAGCCATTTGAAAACCCTTTTAAAAAGAAGAAATTTTCTTTCTGTTTTATTTTGAAAACAGCTGAACTGTATGTATATATATTACAGAACTGACCTTCTACCATTCCTTCTAGGACTATAGATCAGGAAGGCCTGTTGGACAATATGTGTGATTCCTCAGGTAGGACAAAAATGGAAAAGGGATGAGAAAATGCTTGAGATGTTAAGGTTAGGTGGGGAAAGGATCCAATGGCTATGGAAGTCATTTTAGCACAGTAGAAAATAACATTACAACCTCAGCTTTTTACTTTTGCACAATAACACATCCTAGCCATTTCCATAATAACATACATATCTAATCAGCAAAACCAAACCAAAGTTTCATTTTTTTCCCATCACAAGCACAAAATCCAGAAGCAGTTTCCAAATGGGAGCACAATTAAATATGTTCTATATGTGAATAACAGAATCAATTTAATCACTCCACTTTTTTATTGCTGTGGAAAATAATATATATTTCTGTTTACACTTATTAATCATTATAGACCAGTGATGGCTAACCTTTTTGCTGTTGTGTGGCAAAAGTGGGGGTCACGTGAGGGGGGGTTGCGTGCACGTGTGCCCACACCCATAATTCAATGTGCCCCGCCCCCACCACACATGCGTGCACGGCTCCCCCCACAATCCTCCCACTTTTAGCACATGATGGCATAGTGGGCCGGGTAGGCCTGTTTCTCGCTCTCCCCAGGTTCCAGAGACTTTCTTGGAGCCTGGGAAGGGCGAAAATGTTCTCTCCCACCCCCGAGGAGGCTCTCCAGAGGTCAGAAACAGCCTTTTTCGCAGAAGGCCCAAAAATCACGTGGCCAGTGCACACATGTATGCTGAAGCTGAATTAGGGCATTGCTCACGTGCCCACAGATATGGATCTGCGTGCCACCTGTGTCATGCATGCCATAGGTTCGCCATCATAGTTATAGACTATCATCATTGATGTTAAGATAATTTACTAAACTCTCTTAGATTCTTTAATCTTAAAGGGGAAAAACATTTTTTAAAAATTCATTTTAAAACTCTAAACCTTTCTTTGAAAATATTTCTAAAATCAGTGAATTCTAAATTCTAATATATCTTTTTTATTTTCTTTTAAAATTAATATATTCAGATTCATTTTCAATAATATTTTACAAGCTTTAGAAATAATCATTGTATATGAAAAAAAATTCAAACTCACTTTTATAAACAGAAAATTACATCCAAGCTTTGTTTCAAATACATATATCAGATATGTAGAAATCATCTCTAACTTCAATTAACTGATTAAATGTAAGTCACTCCCTCCAGTTTATTTTGACAGAATAAATCTTCTCTGGAATATCTCTGAAGTCTCTTTTTCTCAAATAATTCTCAACCCTCTTAGTATTTATGAATTAAAAATCCCAAACTTGTCCCTTTGAGAATTGTAGATTTGCTTGGAGCTCTTCTTTCAGTTGCACTGGGAAGGTTGTATTTAAACCATCATCATCGACATTGATGTCAGATTTATACTCCAAAATTACAGTTAAGTCCTTTGTCAGATATTTCTGAAATTGCCTCAGTTGTTTGATAACTTTCTACACATTACTTCATCTCTAAACTGCTCATCTTTCTTCCATCTTTAAAACATAATTGATCTAAAAGTGAATGGTTTTCTGTAAATATTTTTCTAATACCGATCTAAAAATATGCTCAAATTCATGTTTTGCCATCTTCTTAGCTGCCTCTTGTGGTCAAAGAATAGATTTTTAAATAAATCAAGTAATAGTTCCTGTCCAATCAGAATTCATAAAAATTGTTTCAGCCACCCTTAACAAAGCAATCCAGAACTACAGATTACTTAAAATAGTAAAATAAAACCACATTACTGCATCAAAGTTAAAAAAAAAATGTGCTCCAGGCTTTTTTAATTTTAGCTTGCCTCCAGCAATTATCTTCCTTGTCATTTAACAATAAAAAAGTCTAAAAAATGGCACAAATCTTCAAAAATGAGTAACTAGCTGTGACTAAAAGAGCCTCTTTTAGCTAATGAAGATAAATGATTAAGAAGTGAAAGTCATGATTGATTGTCCCTTTGAAAAATAAATTCCAAAATGGTGGCTTTTTCAACAATGAAATGATTGCAGCCACACCCCGTAGCTCAGGGGTGTCAAACTTGATTTCATTGAGGGCCGCATCAGGATTGTATTTGACCTTGGGGGGCCAGGATGGGTGTGGATAGGATAGGCGCAGCTAGCTCGACATCACCCATGTCGGGGCATTTGTGGCGGCCCGAGCACTCTGATAGTGAAAACGGGCCAGTGAGCTCTGTTTTCAGCTGCAACGGCACCCTGCAACCCTCTGCCAATGAAAATGACACTTGGGAGGGCCACCCGTGTCCCTTCTGAATTACATTTTTTTGGCTGTGACGGCCTGGTGCAACCCTCTGCTAGCAAAAACACGGGCAGCCCTCCTAAACTCTGTTTTCACTGGCAGAGGCACTGCAGGCTGGTCCTTTGCTGTTTTCAGGGCAGTCCAGTGAGCCAGATCTAAGCACCCCATGGGCTGGATCTGGCCCCTGGGTCTTGAGTTTGACACCCCTGCCCTAGCTGACTGGCTTGTCAGCTTATCCAAAGCACAGCTCCTGAGGATTCCTGAAGATCGCTGCTGCATGGAGAATCTTGTGGAGTGATTCTAGGATTCTCCATATTAGGGGTGGGTTCTACTTACTTTTACTACCGGTTCGCAGCGGGGCTACATGTGTGCGCTCGCTTCACTCGCGCTCTCTTCTGCACAAGCACAGAAGCTTCTGCACATGTGCAGAAGCATTTTGATGACATCGGGGTCAGTGGGCAGAGCCTCCTGCCAGTTTTACTACTGGTTCTGTAGAACCAGTGCGAACTGGGGGCAACCCACCACTGCTCCATATCCCAGAGGAATAATACAAACTAAAGGAATTTCTATTCCTTCTGTTAGTAAGCTGAAAAAGAGATAAGTCTCCTTGGCCTTCTGATAAGATTGCCATCTTCATAGGATTTTTTTTTTTTTTTTGCCCTTCTACCTCATGCTTTCTCCTTTTCTCTTTTCTCCTCTCCTAGTTTCCCATTATTTTAATTTTCTTTGTATTTTATATTTTGATAAACTAATACATTAAAAAAATTAAATCAGAAAAATGCCAAAGTAGGAGAGGACAGAGAGAGAAAAAAGCATAGATTTATGCTTTAATCTAAAACACTCTGAAATCTTTATTTTCAATCTTTTAATCTTTGAATAATATTCAAAGAACATATTTTGGTTTCTTAAGTTTCAGTGCTCTTTGTTATTTCTTTCTGCCAAGATCAGAATAGATAAAGATGTTTTTCTCCCTAAATTATATGTGATGTTGAAGATTTATTTGAATAATACTTGATGCTCATAGTTTATTCCTTTTTTTCTAAATGCAACCTATATAGCATATTCACCATTTCTGAGTGAATTATCTATAATTTTGGTTTAAACAATACAGCCAAAAGACGAATAGAGGTAAATGCAAGCATTTCATATTCACTCATCAATATATTACAATTATAATTTTGGTGTCTATAAAAAAAATAGAACACAAATAGATTTTAAATTTATTTTAAGTTGCAATAACTTCCTGACCTTTGTAGGTGGAAATATTGAACTCTCTTGAACATTATAACTGCATTGTTTTCCCTTTCTCTCCAGATTACCAAAATCAAGAAAATATTGGATGTTTGTGATTCCAGGGATAATAATTTTTGAATGGAAGTTATGACTATATGCCATCTATCACTTTACCTTTGCAAACTTATCACTGCAGAAAAGAGATATCTAGGCTTGCTAGAAGCTATCACACTCTGCATTACTTTACTGTGACCCATCTTTATTCATAATTGTGTATAAAAGAATCACCTAAGAAATTATTTTAATGCTAGATATGGTCAGTTTCCAGTTGCTTGCTGTCCCATTTTTTAGTAGTTTCCAGGGCACCTTCATTTGTGCCACCAGAATTTGTAAGGAACCGGTTACTGTATTTTTCACTACATAAGATGCATTCCCCCCCCAAAAGTGGGTGGTAACGTCTCTGCATCTTATGGAATGAATATGGGTGACAGGCAGCAGTGGCAAAAGGTGGCAGCTATCCCCAGTGGAACAGTTGATTGGCGGTATTCCAGGAGGCCAATCCAACCACCGATCAGCTGCTTGGCTGCGAAGCTCCAGTGTTCCCTGGCGGAGGCAACAGACATGGAAGAGGCAGCTAACCAGGCTGTTTGCTGTTTGCTGCAAGGACTTTAGCCAGATGGATGCTGGGAGGCAGAAGCAGATTTTTTTTCTTGTTTTCCTCCTCTAAACCTAAGTGCATTTTATGGTCAGCGAAAAATACAGTAATTTCCCATCATTTTAAGTCTACTTTAAAATTCTTATCTTTAGAATATTGTAGGCTTAAAAAATAATTTTAATTGAGTTTCCTTGTAGTGTTTAATGTTTAAAAACCTGATAAAATATATTTCTTACATTGCTTTGTTCATTATGGTATTCAATACTGTAAGATATAGCAGAAAAAAAAGCATACTGGCCCTAGGAATATACACTGGCTTTTGCCCACTTTTATAGAAATATAAACGATTGTGATATCTTCTTTTTGATTTGCTGGATGGCTCCTGATAATTTCTAAATGTCTGATTCTTTGTAATAAATATATTTAGCAGCAAATTGGAGTGTATTATTTTGCATTGCCTAGATTGGTTTACATATCCTCAGCAGATGAACTTCCACAAATGGATTACTTGATTCATGTCTGATACTGCTAGTTGATCACTGTCCTTTTACATTTTGAATTAATCTGGAAGATTTGGAAGTACATGTTTCTATTTAGCTATTCAATCTGAACCATCATTCTGATTTGTAAAGTCAATTCAGTTGGGGGATTTGATCAAATTGCTTGTGAAACTGACCTCCAAATTTCAGCTCCTGCAGTTTTACACCATAATGTTAAATGTAGGAACTTATCAGTGCAAAACAGAAAGTACTGAGTTCTCATCTGCTTGAAACACAACATGAGCTCATGTTATTGCAAACCAACTAGGTAGGCTGAACTGCTAATAGCACACTAAAGAGGTTAACTTTCTCATGGAATGGTTGATTTGCATGGTCCAATGCATAATATGTATGCAAGAGTAACTAATGGCAGAGCGATTATAGTTAAGTAGCTTCTTATTAAACAAATGGGTAAAATCTTAAAAGTCAGCAAGCTAGATGCAGATTTGCTTTGATGATCAGTTTGCGTTAGTCATCCATAGCACATACAAACAAGTCTGATATGCTGCTTGCCCTCCTGATCTTTGCTTCCTCTTATTTGGAAGTACTAAGAACACAGAACAAAATACAGAAAAGGGGCATTGGTCCTACCTGATACGCCCCTTCTCGTTGAGTGGAGACAGCAGCCAGACGTGGGTTGTGCTCATTGGTCAGAGGTTGGACTGAGCCTGAAATGTTCTTAAATCTGCCCCTGTTGCTAGGGCACTCCGCTTTGTCGAAGGAGGAACAGACTCGGTGTGTGGAAAGAAAAAAGCAGAAAACAACAATTAGATACCCAAAAACAGTAAAGCCCAGACTGACGAGCAGGGTGGGGCTGGCTGCTGTCTCCACTCAACGAGAAGGGGCGTATCAGGTAGGACCAACGCCCCTTCTCCCTTGAGGGTGGAGACAGCAGCCAGACGTGGGACATACCAAAAATCACTGTCCCATATCACGGGCGGGAACAGTCTGGGCAGAAGACCCCTCCCGGGTAACAACACCCTGTAACACTCTCCTCCCAAAGTCAGCCTCCGCAGAGGAATTTATCTAACTTATAGTGTCTAATAAAGGGGGAAGGAGATGTCCAAGTCGCCGCCCTGCAGATGTCGACCAAGGAAGCTTTCGAAGCCCAAGCAGCCATGGTAGCAGCGCTCCTGGTAGAATGAGCCGTGACTGTAGAGGGCGGAGGCAATGATCGAAGTTCGTATGCAGTTGTAATCGTTGATCGGATCCAACGCCCCACCGTGGAAGAGGTCACCTTTTGTCCTAAGGAAGATGGCAAAAAAGAGACAAACAGTGATTCCGTACGCCGAATAGCAGCAGTTCTCTGAATGTAGAGTTTAAGCGCCCGGCGGACATCCAGCATGTGTAAGCGGCTCTCCAAGGGATTGGAAGGACAGGGGTAGAAATCTGGTAGCACCAGTTCCTGTAAACGATGAAATGGAGAGTTAATTTTGGTCACGAATGTAGGGTCCAATCTGAGGACCACCCGGTCTCCATGAAACACACATAAATCATCCCTAATGGATAATGCTGCTAACTCAGAAATTCGACGCGCTGATGTGGTCACAACCAGGAAGGCCACCTTGCCAGACAGCAGACGCAAGCTGACCGAATCAAGCGGCTCGTACGGTGACCCCATAAGAGAGTCCAGCATGAGGGGAAGGTCCCAAGAGGGATACCGATGCAGAACAGGCGGGCAGATATTAGTTGCACCTCGGAGAAACCGCCGAATCAGAGGTTGCTGAGACAAAGAATGTATAGAGTTATACATCAGTATGGAAGAAATTGCTGCGACTTGTCTCCTGAGGGTGTTAGGAGACAGCCCTTTGTCCAGACCGGACTGTAGGAACCGAAGGACTTGCAAGATTGAAGCTCGAAGTGGAGAGACTCCTTGTGACGCACACCACGAGGAAAATGACCGCCAAGTAGCTGAATAGATACGTTCCGTTGATGCTCGCCGGGAGGCTAGGATGGTATGGATCACATCAGAAGGGACGTGGTCCTGCTGCAGGGCTTCCCACTCAACCGCCAAGCGGTCAGCTGAAGCCACTGAGGCTCCGGATGTACCATTGTCCCTTGGCTGAGGCAACCCGGGGTGCACGGGATCCGCCAAGGAGGAGACACTGACAGATGCATGAGGTCCGTGAACCATGATCTCCTCGGCCAATGTAGTGCCACTAGAATTATTTCCGCCTGTTCCTGTAATAATTTCCGAATCACCCTCAGAAGGAGGGGAATCGGAGGAAAGGCATACAGCAGGTCTTGTGGCCAAGGGGAGCGCAGAGCATCCGCAGCTTCCGCCTGATGGGAAGGGAAGCGGGAGAAGAAGCGAGGCAACGTGTTGTTCTGAGTAGAAGCAAACAGGTCTACTTTCGGACTTCCGAAATGAGCTGCTATCCTCTGGAATAAGAGCGGGTGAAGACTCCATTCTCCGTGGTCTAAATGTTGGTGGCTCAGCCAGTCCGCCATCACGTTCGAGACCCCCGATATATGGTCTGCCTTCAAGGAGGCCAGATGCCTCTCTGCCCAAAGGCCTAATCTCTTTGCCTCCCGCATCAACGATGTGGACCTGGTACCGCCCTGACGGTTGACATGGGCTTTGGCAGAAGTGTTGTCGGTGAGCACCAACACATGTTCGCCGTCCACCTGCCGCTGAAAGGCCCGAAGCGGCTGATGAATGGCCTGCAGCTCCAGCCAATTGATGCTGCGGGTGGATTCCATGGACGACCAAGTGCCCTGAGTGACCCGAGCCCCGCAGTGAGCTCCCCAGCCGAACTTGCTGGCGTCGGTGGTCACAGTCACCCACCGGGGTTCCAGAAACAGACAGCCCTTGGAGATTGCAGGAGATCGCCACCAGCGAAGGGACGTGAGCACCTCCCGTGGGACTGCTACCTTGCTCTGAGAGGATCCCTTGCCCGTCCTCTGTAACGGCAAGAGAAACCATTGGAGGTCTCTAAGGTGTAACCTGGCCCAAGGAACAATAGAGATGGCAGAAACCATCTTGCCTAACAATTTTGAGAGAAATAAGGGGGAAACTCTCTTGTCCCGCATGACTTTAGCTACCATGGACCTCAACCCGGCCTGACGCTCCGGGGAGAGGAAGACCTTTCCTTGTACTGAATCAATGATAGCCCCCAAATGCAGGATCCTAGTCGAGGGTACTAGATGGCTTTTCTCCACATTAACAGAGAAGCCGTGCGCCGCTAATGTCTGAATCGTAAGGCGGAGATCAGACATGGCCTGTTGATGAGAAGATGACATAATAAGGATGTCATCCAGATAGCACTGGAGACGAACGGCTTGAAGCCGGAGGTAAGCTGCTAAGGTAGCCAAAATCTTGGTGAAACTACGGGGAGCAGAGGAAAGGCCAAAGGGTAAGGCCCTATATTGGTAGTGGACCCCAGCAAAACAAAAACGAAGGAACTTCCTATGAGAAGGGCGAATGGGGATGTGGAGGTAAGCCTCCGTGAGATCTATTGAGCAGAGGAGATCGCCCCTCCGTATGCCGTCTAAGATCGAACGTAAGGATTGCATTTTGAACCTTCTATAGATAACAAATTGGTTCAATCTTTTAAGGTCCAGAATAGGTCTCCACCCACCCGATGACTTAGGGACTAAGAAGACCCTAGAATAGAAGCCCTGTCCTACCTCATCACAAGGTACCCGTTGAATAGCCTTAATGGCTAGCAGATGGTTGACAGCCGACTCCATGAGGAACCGACGTTCTGCTATTGGGGACAGGGGACAACGGATAAAAGACAAAGGGGGGGTGGAAACAAATTCAATGGCCAGCCCAGCTGAAATGGAGGCCAGGACCCAGCAATCTGAAGTAGTACCCTCCCAAGTCTTGGCGAAGAGGCCCAATCTTCCGCCAATGGGAGATACTCTGGTACCACTAACGACGGCGACGGATGGAATGACCCCCTCCCCCTCGAAAGGGCCGCCGGGGACCAAAACCCCTACCCCTGGCTGGTCGTTCCTGAAAATTCCTCTGCCTAGGATTGAAAACCCCTGGGTAGAAATTACCCGTATAGCGGGAAGGGCCCATCCCCCCTTCTGTTGGATGAAGATGAGGGCGAGGTGGATAAGGGAAAACCCGAGGTTCCCCTCTGCGGAACATAGCCGGCAGGACCTTCTGTTTATCCTTGGTCTTGACAAGGAACTTATCCAAAGGATCGCCAAACAGCTTAGAGCCAGAAAAGGGCACAGACGCCAGACGCCACTTATGCCTGGCATCGGCTTGCCAATGTCGGAGCCACATCAGGCGGCGGGCCGTGATGGAAGAGGCCAAGGACTTAGCAGCAAACAGCGTGGCATGTAGAGTGGCGTCTGCAGAAAACTGAACTGCTGCCACAATCTTATTCAAGTCCTGTCTCAGCCTAGAGTTCTCTGAGGACATCTTTTCCTGCAATTGTTTGAGCCACAGGAGCGTTGTCCGATTAAAAAAGGAAGCGGTGGTTGCTGCTTTAATGGCCCATGCCGCCGCTATGTGAGCTCTCTGAAGGACTTGTTCCGACCTGCGCTCCTCAGGATGAAGACCTTCCTCAGGTTCTCCCGGAATGGAAGACGAAGAGAGCAATGCCGCCACAGGGGAGTCAATAGAGGGCACCTGAAGCAGGGACTCCAGGTCCGAGAAGACAATGAAGTTTCTTTTATCAGTGGAAGATGGTACTGGAACAGAAGAAGGAGCCGACCACTGTTTCTGAATGACCTCTAGGAAAAGTGGGGGAGTAGGAATGGTCGTTATTGCCTTAGGCTGTTCAGCAAATAAAGGATTCAAGGAGCCAGCAGTAGGTAACGGCTCCGGCAGAGTAGCAGGCCCTAGTTGAGCAGTGTTAACCGCTTTAAAAAGAAGTGATTTAAAGAGGGCTTGGGGAAACAGACCCGTGAAGGGCGGCTGGTCTGGGGGCAAC